GGAACAGGAGCGGTAGAAACACCGTAAGGAACGGGCCTGTCGCCTCGCGGGGTGCGTTGGGGAGCTCCGGTCATCGGGCGAAGAGCTGTTCTCCATGCTGGCTGTAAGGAAGAGTTGGATTTCTGGGGGGCTGTTATTCTGCCAGAGTTCTCCAGAGAAAGCAAATGCTTGAGACAAAATAATAGCAAATGTGTTCTTAAAAACACTCTATTTAAAGTAAAGACTCTTTCTTGAGTAGAGCTCGGTGCTTCTCCTGAAACGGATGAACCTGTAAGTTCTGTGAGAGTGACCCTCCATAGCAGAATAGGGGAAATAATGATGTTAAACTTGAGGTATACTTGGCCTTTCTGTATGGCTTAGTATCTCTTAAATCCTTCTGAAGTCGTTCTTGAGAGCCTTCCCATCTATTAATATTCTCATCTGAAAAATATGTTGTTTAAAGAGGGAGCGGCAGATCCAGGATGTCAAGCAAATAGGTGCTGCGCCCAGACTCTCAGCCTGGCGTGTGGGTACTGTTTGTTTTCTCTTTATCATAATACTAAGCATCCTATGGAATGGCAAAACAAGTCTTCCGAGCAGCGTGGCATCCTAATTTTGTTTTTAACTTAAGTGCTTAGCTTAAAACCAACTTGGCTGTGCAGCCTGGACATCTGAAACTGGGAGGAGGGCATCTAAGTACTTATGAAAGCAGACATCTTCTATAGCCACACGTATACCCCTGCGAGGAGCGGGGGAGTGGTTATATTTGGGAACTCTTGAGTATTCGTGTGACTGAGTTCTCCAGCTATGGAGTTGGTATGCCTATGGCTAGTTTTATTTAAGTTGTCAGGGTACTGCAGCTTGTGCCTGCCCTCTCCAGCATTCTGTTGGCCGCTAGAGCCCCCATCCTTAAAGATTATCAGTGTCACTTACTCTGCCGATAACCGTTTAGTTTTGTAGCTGTTCGATGGAGGTTTGCTTTTATGCTGGAAATTAGGGAAGTGCTGATGATGTCCTGCGGTTCAAAGATGTAGCTTAAGTGGAAGTAATGGTTTATGAGGGGAGAGTCTCAAAATAGTTACAATTCAATTTTGCTGATGAAAGCCAATACTAGGGTTACCTGTGGAATAGGTAAAAAATGTCCAGACTGTTTTGTGTTCTGTGCTAGAATAGCCAAAGACTCTGGTTAGAGGATCAACAAAACACTTCTCTAGCTGTTACTGGGTGGGATGCTTGTTCCCTCCTGTACAGCAGACCTTTAAGTCAAAGTATATAGGTGAAAATCTTGTTAAACAGAAAAATGTGCTGTGTGGCGTGCAACTTGTATGCCTTCTGACTGTTGGTATGTGTTTTAAAAACTTGGAGTTGCATGAACTTCTTGCAATTGTTGAATATTTTCTATTTGCAGTGTTGGTAGCCTTATATGAAGAGCCAGAGAAACCAAATAGTGCACTGGAGTATCCTTTTTCTCTTCTGTGAATTGTTCATAGAGACTTGACGTGAAATCGCAGTACCGCTTCTGACTCATAGGTGAACTGGAGAGGCTCGTTAGAAGACTTACGTTGAAAGCATGGCTTTTATGGATGCATTTTAGCTAATAATTGCATTATTTCAAGCTAACAGAAAGTCTGACGGGATGCAAGAGAACTGTGCATATTGGTATGCCAGCAATTATGAAGTTATGGGCCATTACAGAACAGTTACAGTTACACCTGCAACATTAGGTTTGAGTACTTAGAGTATCTGTGGCTTCTGAAGTTGGCTTTTTCATGCTTCCTTGTTTTTTTTTTAATACGAGAGGGGAAAAATTTTCTGTCTTTTGTTTCTTGCTGTTTTAAGCAACCTCCCTTTTTGCTAATTGCTTCTATTTTTTGGTGACTCCTTTTAAGTCCTCAAAACTTCTGCATTTAAGAAAGGAAAAGAGGAGGGTATAGTAAAACATAAGAATTTGTCCTGTCTGTACTGATGTCTTGTGTGGGTTTTTCGTGTGTGTGTTCCTTTTTTTAAGGAATATACCAATGAACCTGAAAAGCTTTCTTATTTTTGTAACTTCATCCTGTAGGATGAAAAGCATTGTAGTAATTAAGTGGTTTAATGCAATTTTGGTCACGTGTATTGCAGCACTAACTTTGTAAGTGTTAAAACTAAAATATGGTTATGCTATCTAACTGAAGAAATACTTAACATCTAAATATCAGCTTTCTGAAGCATCATCTGGGAGCTTCAGCTCCTGAGAATCCAGAAATAGAGGCACTTCGCTTGGAAGTGGCAGAGATGAAAGAAAAATACGAAGCTGTGTTGGAAGAAAATAAAAAACTGAAAACCAAGGTAAAAGTCTACTTAGTGCTCCTTACTAGTTCCATGTTACACAAGAAGAAGAATACTTTAATACTTAGGATACAGCTAACTTTCTTCCGTTAGAGTAACTGATAAATGTTGTTGCGTTGTTTAACCTCATGACTGAGGAATGCTGGTAGAATTCACTGTAGTAAAGATTTATTTTTTTTTATGGGACACTTCTTATATCCTATAACATAGAACAGTATTGCTAAACTAGGGATTTTATTTATTGAACGTATATGTTATCAAGGCTAATAACACGTCTTCCTTCAATCCTGTCTGGATGTGTTTAAGTTGTCTGATATTATGTAGCTTGTTCTTTCACAAGAGTTTTGAAAAAGGAAAGAAGCTAATGTACCTATTACAAAGGCTTTCAAAAGGCAAACTGAAGGAGGACTATTGTATATTAGTTTGTGTGACCTGGCATGGACTTGCACGTGGCAGGATGTTACCAGTGGAGGAGCTCGTATCCACGTGGAACAGTAATTTGCGCTTTTCAGCTAAAATGACCCTGGTATTCCTCTAATACTGCAACCACAGTTGATCTGAAGTGCTAGCTAATGCAGAGCCTTTCTTTAATGGGTCTACGGGCTGTCTGAAACAGCTCTGAGATGCCAACAACTTCCCCTTACCGGAGGGCACTGACTGTAAACCTAACAACGCTGAAGAAGGAAACCTTTGAGAACTTTAATAAGCTAGTAGCTTATGTGCCACTACGGGATTCCATCCGTTTGTGGGAAGAGGATGGCTGATGTTACATGTGAACGTGCCTATGGGTTTTTTACCGGGAGACAACCACCCCACCTTAGTTCTGGGAGAAGGGCTTCTTGGGCATTACCCCTTTGTGTTTCTGTCTGGAGTGCCCTCTTGCTGTCCTAGTAATTCTCCTCCTTCTCTGTTACCCACTGTGAGTCCTTACAGCTACATTTGTTATTTCTTACTAGGAAATATGGCAAAGAGCAGAATTTTAGGGGGCGTAGCAATAGACCAGCAGTTCACTCGGCGTAGCCGACTTAAAAATGCAACCGATAGTAAGTAGACGCATGAAAGCAGAGTAACCTGAGTCTTTGTGTAAAGAAATCTTTTAAAGAAGTCAAAACTTGTTCCAGGAAAGTAAGCCTTTCCATAATCGTGGGTTTATTTGTGCTTTCACCTTCTTCAGCCTTCAAATGATAGCTCTTTATGTGTCTTCCAGTATCCATATTTTTGCTTTTTCCCCCCTTTCTTTTCCCCACCATCTTCTGCCCGTCATTCTGACGCGCTGTAGAAGTTCACACGGACAGATTGCAGGGAAGAACACTACCATTAAGCTTTTTTTGTTGTTTTTCAGCAGTCCTCTAGCATAAAATACGTGCCTTTAACTGTGCATTTATTGGTAACTTGAATCATGTCCAAATAGGTGGTGTTCTTCTGTTGCATTCATCTGTGAAGATCTGTTCTTCTTACATTTATTGGTCAGGATGTCAGGTGGGGGGGAGGAGTGGGGCAGGAATTCAATAGTTAGGCCCTTTGTGGAAGAGAAGACTGACTTTGGATTGTATACTGGCCATCTTTTGTGGTAAAATCTACAAGAAAGACAAAAAGCTGTTTTACTGGTTTTTTGTTAGCGGCATAGCGATTGCTGTAATTTAGTGTTGCTACAAGGAACGCATGGGTATTTTAATTTTCTTATGTGCTTTGTTTATTTTTAACCTACTCTTAGCAGGAGAGGGGAAGAATCTTAACTGAGCAAACTGGACTGGCATATTTCAGAGGTTCAGTCCTACTGCTTGAACTGTTTTTTGAAGCTTGAGCTTATCTTTAACGTGACTGAGGTGAAGTAAACACCTTTATGTGTTTCTTTGGAAACAACTTTACAAGTAAAGGTCACGCTTCAGTGCGTAGTTGCCGAGGCCGTGCTCTCCGGAAAGCGTAACGAGAGCTAAATGATTACAGGAAATGTTAGTTTGGGTACTGTTGCTATGAGAACGACCACTGAGTTTAATCATATTCCAGTGAAATCAAAGCTTATAAGACACTGATCATTATCAACTGCTATTTGAGATTAAAAGGACTTAATGAGACCTAGAACAGGAAACAGGGAAAAACTAAAGGCTAGACCTATATGCTTGAAAGTGCATTGTAAAAGCCTGCTTGTTATAGCTGTGTGATTTTACAACGTGACAAACTGGTGTTTTGAGGGAAGGGTTACTTAGTTGCCTGACTGGAAAATGGACTTGCATAAGTATCAGTGTTGGATTAAAATGCACAAAGTAAATGGAACATTTCTGGACCAAACATTTTCCTACATTTCTTAATGGAGAGAGCGTTTCTGAAACGTTGCAGCTAACTAAATTCCTCTCTTTAAATCCACAGCTGGCTCAGTATGAACCACCTCAAGACGAGAAGCATGGTGAATAACAGTAGTTTCTCCTTTAATGCCTTGACTTAATAAAGGGCTTCCTGAGAACTGCAGTCCTCTTTTTTTTTTTTTTTTTAATTTCTTTAGTACTTCATCATCTTAAAGGAAAAAAATAAAAAATGCAATATCATGAGCATACAGCTATTTTTCTGTAGCTGCAGCATCAACTGATGGATTTAAGCATACTGGCCCACTTTGCTTTCTGTGTTTAAGAAAAGGTGATAGTTATGATTAACTTGTAGATAACTCTGCCTGCCAACTTTGTGTAAATTTTGCATTGTGGTCAATGGTCATGTAAAACTGCTGATCTCTCTCCTGGTTTTCTTTTAACTGGAGGGGGTGATGTGACACTGGTGGACCGACTGTGAACTGAAGCAAGACCTCCAAGGTATATTCTGAGTTGGTACTCAGGACTGAGGTTAGGCTTCTACTGAAACTGATGCGGTAACTCTCTACTCAGAGGAGCACAAAAGGAATGAGTATAGTTAAGTGATAGACATAGCATGATGTTGGAGATGTAGTATCTACTGAACGTAGTTTTTTTAATTTGCATGAGGTGTATCTATTTCCATACAGTTCACATCTCCAATCCTGTTTCAGAAACTGGGCCTTGGAGAGTTGATCCAGATACCGCCTGGACACTTCTAAACAGAATACAAAATTATTACTTGTAATGGATGGCCTGTGTAATCAGTGTGGCACATGTAAGAGTACTGTGCGGAGAGTTCTGCTTTCTGATTCATTTAATGGGGGGAAAAGAAAATCTAGGCAGGCAGAAAAATCCAAGGGGGGGGTGTGTGTGACTTGCGATTTCTAATTTCACTTCTGTTCTTTGGCCGGTTTCCCTGAATTGGCTTCACAATTCTTCTGAAATGCAAAGTTGTCTTTTAAAATGTTTTTTTAAAGAGCTGCATTTTGCTCTTATCCTAAAACTAGGTACTTTATTTTTCCTGTTGTATTTAAAGTGTGTGTGTGGGGAAGTGCCTGATTTATATATTAGATCTACTGGTTATTAGTTTAAATTCTTTGATTCTGGGATGGGTTTTGCAGCTTGTCGTACAGGTGTGTTAGGATGGATTAGAACTCTTGCTAAAGGCAATGTATAAACTGAAATCGAGGGCTAACGAATGTAATGGTTGCTTACCTTACTAATGTACCTACCACTGATCTGAAGAGAGCTAAATGAATGGAAAATTCTGTATTAAGTCTTTAAAATGACCTCAAAACCCCCCCCATGCTGAACAAACAAAAACCCACGCAGAAAAAAAAAAATGTTCTCCCCTCTGCAACAAAGGAGAGAAGAAAGCTCACTTGTAAGCTAGACCATATACCTAGCATTAAGTTGTAGCATGTTGGAATGGGGAGAGGATAATGCTGTAGAAAATGCATCACGTAGCTGAACGTGTGCTGTGAGCAGTGTGACTGGAGGAAGACAGAAATAAACGCTCTTTGGGGCACATCTTGCCAAAGAAGCAGCAGGCAGGTAAGGTGTTTAGTCGAGGTCTTTGCAGGGTGTGAAGGACTCCTTGGTCAAGATGTCGGGCATGAGGGCAGTAATATGTGCTCACGCTTTTCATGGCTGTATTTGCTTCCCTCTGAAAACAGTTTGATCTTGTGAGCCTTAAATTAGGATTGTACTGAAATAAGAAATACTTGTTAAAACCGCACTGGAGCTGTCTGCCTGTACAAACGATGCCAGTAGAATCACAGAACCGTACAACGGTTTGGGGTGGCAGGGACCCCATCTCGTTCCCTGCCCATGGTTGGGGGGGTTGGACACCCTCCACCAGCCCAGGTTGCCCAAAGCCCGCCCCATCCAACCTCTTGACCAGTGCCGGGGAGCCGGGGCCAGCCACAGCTTCTCTGGGCACCCTGTGCCAGGGCCTCAGCACCCTCACAGGGAAGGATTTCTCCTCAGATCTCATCTCCATTTCCCCTCCTGCAGCTTCAGGCCATCCCCCCTTGGCCTGTCACTCCCTGCCCGTGTAAAATCCATGACTGTTTAACGGCCGTCAGGAACGCTCTCCGAGGCAGGGGGATTGCCTCACGGAGAGCTCCCGTTCCTCGGCTGGCGGTTGTTTTTGAGGCACGGCCCCGGGGGCGGTACCGGGAGTGCGGCGGGTCCCTCCTCCTCCTCCGCCCAGTACCGCCCCACCCGCGCGCC